AAGTGAATTCGAACCTTTTCCTTCCTCTCTTTACGTTCTTCCTTTTCTTTCTTCTCTAGTTCTTGAACATATTCGTTAAAAATATCTTCTTTATCTCGCATTTTTTCAACGCCTTTAAATCGACTATCTTTGCCCCATTTTGAAGCGAATGATGAAAATGACGATCTCAAAAACAAAAAAATAAACATCAGTAAAAATATTGAATGTTTGATGTGTACAGATCACATAACCCAAAACTCAATCTATTATCCACCTACTCTATTAAATAATCTCGTCCTGCATAACTGACAAGTTCTTCACGACAATGAACTATTTTTTCGTTTTAATTGGAATATTTTAGATATGATACATAGAATAAATGATAAGACTACAGAATTTATCCTAACAAACTACATGTTAATTTTGAAAAGTTTTCATATAAATTAACCTTCCATGTAATTTTGCCTCTTCAAGCAAATTCTTGAAATTTTCTCTTGCTTCCTTAGCACGTCTTTTTTTCTCCGCTCGTTCAACTTCAGTTCGTTCACGCACATAAGCTTCGAAGGCCTAAATTTAAACAATCTCTGAACGCTGTTACTACTATTAAAAATGATATCGTCATCCATTTTAGCAAAATTCAGACTTTTTAATAGTTTAAAGAACATAATAATAAACTTACAGCCTTCCGTTCCACAGCATTTAGAAGTAGATACCGCTTATCGAATACAATTTTAGATAATTCCTTTTCCCAGGTGCTTCCAGCACTAACATTTTTCTCTGTCAACATTTCTTTGAATTCTTGCAGCCTACGCTCAAACGGTACCTGCAAATAAATTCAAAATGTTTGGATTTGAGAAAAATCTTATCCATTTGAAAAATGAATTACAAACAAGCTTATAACTCTCCTACTGTGCTATACGATAATGAAAAGTTCTATTTAAATACATCGCCTCCTTTTAATATTGTTTTTTATTGTTTCATTTTTCTTGAAATATGAAACAATACTTTGAAAATTTCAGAATCTTGTATTCTATCTATTATCTCCCTTTTGATATTTAAACTATTTAAGATATCACTTCTTCTCTCTCTTTTTGTGCTTGTAATTCTGCTTGAATCGCTGGATCAACTTGCTTCTCAAGCATCTGCCTTGGCCTATCCTTCTCTTTTTTCGCTGCTAATTGTTCCAGACGTTGTTTTTCTCTGAAAGTATTACGAAAAAAAAAGATTGGAAGAGTCTTTGAAATTCAACGTAATATAAGACATAAAATTTTAAAGAACCTACAACTTCTTTTCTTTTCGGCTTTTTTTAGCTGCTGGTGGCGCATTATCCTCGTCATCATCGCTCTCCTCCGAACTTCCTGTTTTCCCTTCATCGTCCGTTTTTTTAGCAGTTTCCGGCTCTGTAACTTGATTTTTCTTTAAAATACAAAACTACAGGTGATTGATTCAATAATAAAAAAAGAAGAAACTAAAAGCAAAAGTCGCATCCAACACTAAAATTGTAAAATGTTAATAGTGCTTCAGAGAATATTAGAAAATAAAATGAGAAATAGTGCCTCAAATTATATCACTCATCATTGAACAGCAATCAGCTTAATTGACAATCTTAAATAGTCATATGAAATGATTTTTGGATTATACCTTTATGTTCGAAAAAAGTGCACTCACTTTTCTCTTCTGGTGGCTTCGATACTAATAAATCAACGTCTGGTCGATTATACAACTCTGGTGGTCTCTCCCAGACTGATGTACGTGTTGATGGGTTATAAAAGAAAACCTAAAATTGAGAACAGCTGTATTTCATAGTTGCTCGCCAATTAACAATGAAGTTGCTTGAAAATTATCGTTTTGTGATTAAGAACTGATTACTTTATGGTCGCCTGTCCACACTACACACCATGGAGTCCCAACCACAGGATTACTGCTAACAGGTCTAGATTTATCCACTTGTTTCGTCTCCACAGCTTCTGATTCCTTTGTCGAATCCTCTTCATGTTTTTTTGCTTCTTCTGCAGCTGCTTTAGCTGCCGCTAATTGAGCTTGAACCTGAGATAATCCTCACAATTATTTTAATATTACAAAAATCTAATACAAAACTTGCTAAGCTCCTCTTAAATGTCTTGTGTTTTAATTTTAGCATGGAAAAAAAGATTCACATCCTCGAATTACAGCGAGCACACTCTGGCTAAGCATACCAAAAAGACCCTACCATTCGTTCATCATTATCCTGAATAGCAATTGAATTGAATAGAGTAGTTGATAGTTGCAATTGCAAGCTTAATTTTAAAAAAAAATGTAATGTTGATTCTAGCTGCTAGATAACAGTAAAAAAAAAGGAAACTGTTTTGCAAAATTTTTCCGCGACATGCAGGAAGCAAACTGTTATCTTCTAAAGTTTAATAATCGAATAGTACTTCCAAAAAAAAAAAACCTGTTGTTGCGCCAAAGCTGCAGCTTGCTGTTGTGCTTCTGTGAAAGTTGGCGTACCAGTATTATTTTCGGAAGATTCACTAGTGCCACTGGTAATATTAGAGACTAAAAATGAGGAAGAATGACATATCTTTTTAGTGTACATTTCCTAAAATAAGATTTAATTATGCTAGTTTAAAGTGTCATCGGACTTCAGCCAAGATGTACCTTCTCTTTCTTTAGTGTTTCAAATCCAAAAATAATATACTGAACCTATACATTCTTAATATATTAATTTATGCAAAATAACCTTCGAGCACTTTTGGCTTGTCCCAAGTTGTTTCCTGGGTCTGGGTGTTATAATAATATTTACGACCATCAGGTGATGTATATTCCTGCCAAAGCACAGCCTCTGACACCGGGGCACCCTATAATATAGTTATGAATAATCATCATAGAGTGGAAATCTACATTTTTGGCAAAACATACATCAGTGCCAGGGCCAACAGCTGCAGGCACAACTGGCGGCATTCCAGGAACTGGCATCGGATAAGCTGGCGGAACACCAGGAAACATAGGCGGGTAACCTGGACCACGTGGAGGAAACATCATAGGCGGCATCATGGGGAAGCCTGTAATATAATTGCTTTAGTTTATATTCTTAGCATCTTGAAAAAAAAAAGAAGGATAGGCAGAATAATAATCCCTCAAACCTTAAATTAATATTTATACAAAGTACATATTGATTTTTTGGAGCATTCAGAGCAAGAAAATGCTCCCGGAACTAATCTTTCTGATAGTATTTTAAAACATTAATCGTTTAAATATTGATAGATTAAACCGTAATAATTTGAATTCATTTGCTCTACATAGGAGCAAAATGCGTTTAAACAAGATTCGCTTCATCTTCCGATTCAGTTTAAAATTCAATGACCTGGTGGTGGCATCATTGGTGGATATCCACCCATCGGCATACCAGCGGCCATTTGAGGTGGTACACCAGCTCCATATCCACTAGCAGCACCTTGCGAAGCAGCTGAAAAACATTTTCCGATATTCATATGATCATTAAATAATAGAAAACTACAATCAATTTTCTGCAATGGTAACATCTGACAAATAAAATGACTGGAATAAGCTGAAAAATTCATTTCAAGACATTTTAATTTAACAAATAACTTCTTCACAATCAATTCTTTACAAAAAAATTATTTCTGCACGATCATCCGAAATTAAAATTTTGCAAAATCAAACTGAAAACAAAACTACAGCACCGTAAATTGCATATCTGGCTCATACCCTATTAGACCAATTTGATCATCACTTTATGAATCAATTCATATAACCAAATCACACTAAACAAAGCTAGCAGGGGAAATGATGCTGTCAATAAGGATGTATTGCCCTAAACATCGATAAATGGAGGTGATAATTTCAGATATGTTATTCCGCGGGATGAATCACAAACTGCAATGTAATTCATAATTTCATATTCTGACCTGATCAAAGAATATTCAACCTATCATCCTAAATCATATATCATCATATGAAACTTTACAAAACATTAAGTATGGTGGAAATTAGCTTTATATACGTATAACTAGCAACAGCACTCACATCGTTAAGTAACTGAGGAAGAGGAAGGATTTTACGCATCACATCTCCTGTGTGTGTGTATGTATGGTAGGTACGTGTAATGTAGTTCTAGGAAGAGGCAACAAAAGACATCGCGGCATCTGGAAGCATCCGGGAACGGTATTATCACATTCATGGATTGAATATTATCAATTTGATTGTTAATATCACCACTAAAGTGTGCATTAGCAAAGACAAAAAAAAAAACTTCAACGAAGCTCTTTCTTGCCAAAATTTTTTCCATTTCTATGTAAATTTCTTCGTATTTTTAAATAAACTAAACTGAATTACTTTTTAACTGCAACATTACTTTCCGTTGTTTCAAGGTTTTAAAGTTAAAGTGAAAAGTTACTCGGATTTTATTCTCTGCTCCAGGTAAGTATAACGCTTGCAATACGTACCATATTCACGTCCCCGATAAGCATAGAATGTAAATGACAAAACTGTAGTAGACCCTATAAGGAAGCATGCTGCAAAGTGCTAAAAAAACATGGCTGAAACACCACTAATTCAAACTATTTACTGCTTAGTAGCCAGATCATTCCGTCATTATCGTAGTTCTTCATATTTATTTTATTTTTATCATTTACTATTATAATTTCTTCTCTTGATATTCAAATTCCTTCTTAATATTTGAAATATTTTTAAATTCTGTAAAAGCAGTCTTCATTACTCAGATGTAATCATTAATACCCTCTTAACGTGCAAAAATCAAAATTTTTTAGCGCCGATCGCCGAGATATTTTGACTGTCCTCGGTAAATTGATAAATCCACTTTATGCGGTACCATAACAATTTGCCAAGCAAAAGCCAACAATCACAACACCAAATAATCCAACCATTAGTCGTTCCACAATAAAGAGAGATTATACGCACGCCCAATATACTTACCTCTTGCGTGCTTATCATTTTATGTATTTTGATGGAAAAAGACAAAACTCAATTTTTCATATAAAAAATAAATAAAATTCCTACCAAAAAAAAAAAAAATGCTTGGCTAACAACTATGATAACGAATGTTGAAGGCATTAGTATTGGCAACAAGATAATGCAATAATAAATAGATGCGAAGATATTTAGGTTAACATTTTCACTGAGAAGGAACCAAATTTTGGACAAAACCATTATAAAAAGCAGACCTTGTTCTTTTTCCTCTTTCGCATCTTTTTCAACCAGAGCCTGTAATTCACCCTGTTCCATTACTTTGGCATTTTCTGGTTTCTCCCACACCGTATCACGTGTTACAGCGTTATAGTAGTAGGGCTTTCCATCTGGTGACTTTGTTTCTACCCACAATTCCTGATCTGGTGCAACACCAGCCAGCTGAAATGGATAACTTTTAAGCTTTCACAATCACGACTGCATGTTAAATGATGATTTGAATGCTTAAAGCAGGTTGGAAATTAGTAAAATATTCTATCTAGTTTTGCCATCTTCTCATCAACAAGATTTAAAAGGAAGGTGAATTCATTAAAAATCTCTATACTACAAAACCTTAGCAGGGAATAATAACTGATAAAAAGCAAAATAATATACAAGGTACCTTTTTTAACCTTTCTGCTTGCTGTTGAGGCGTCTGTTGAACAGGCATTTGATGAGCCATGGGAGGCATTCCCATTGGAGGAATGCCTGGATATGGGGAAGGATAAAACGGAGGTCGCGGTTGGAATGGTGGACCTCGCATGCCGCGCCCATCACCCATATAACCAGGCCGTGGCCCACGCATTCCGTAACCGCCACGCATGCGCTGGAAACCACCACGAACACCTGAAATGAAATCAATTATACCGCTCTAAAATATTAATTTTAGACTAAAAAAAAGCAATAAGTGGGAAAGCCAGACTGTAAATAGCTCTTCAATAATAAAGATCAAGTTAAGAATTTATGGACCGGAAAAACAAAAAATTTGAATGAAAAGATAAGCGCAAAGAAAAATTAAAAGTTTCCATATTCTGAAATATTAGAAACAACAATCTCTCCTAATTTTGACAAATGTGACAATTTCGATACATTGCAAAACTTACCCCTCGAACGATCGTAACCATATCCATCATCCATATCACCATTACCATAAGGTCCTCGAGGACCACCGCCATACATACCCCTTCCACCTCTCCAATTACCTGGACCACGCGGGCGCCAACCACCACCCATATTTTGAGGTCCATAACCATAGGGTGACATACCGCCTCCCCCACCACGATAGCCACGTCCACGAAATCCACCGCGAAAATCATCACCACCACTACGATATTCCTCACCACGGTAATCATCCCCGTGGTATTCTTCACCCCGATAATCGCCATGTTCACGTTCTGATCCGCGTTCTGAATACGGCTGATAACTATCTGAAAATATTAATCCATATTCATTACAATCATTATGACTTTCCGTCACGTCGACTAGGAAAACTTGATTACCACGACTGTCCATTTCTGACATAACACTCCTCTGAATGTTTGCTTTATTATATGAATATGATGGCAAAGAACTTCTCAAAATTGACTTCACATATCAATCAAATAAAAATTCATTACCAAAATCATCATGTTCTTGTCCACTTCGACGGGCACTTTCATACTCGCCACCATCTTCACCAGCATCTTCACCATCGTGGTGTTCATCCATTCCATTTTTGAAGTGATCATCATGATCTTGGTGTTGCCGACGATGCTTTTCTTCATCCTGATGGTGCATTTCCTCTCTCACCATACCATTCAAACTATTATCACCCATTACGTCTGAAAACTCTCTTGTTAAATTCTTTTACTGACCTCATCATAAGTAAATGTGCAACACATTTCAAAAAAAATATAATCTACATTTTTTTTCTTCAAATTGAGAGTACCCGTCGAGTCGGAAATACCACCCTATTTTTGAATCATACCATAAAGGCAGAGAAGAAAATCCAACCGAAACAACCGCTTATAAAAAAGCTTTATTGAAACTATGGAAACAAACCATAGATATGCAAATTTTCGGAGGATATTCGAAATGATGAATACAAGACAGTATATAGAATAAAAAGCAGTTAAGTAAGCAACGAAGATGAATTTAAGTGTTCAGCTTTTGTCCATCTTAAGACAGATACATGAGAGAAAATTACAATGAACAAGTTAGGAAGTTAAAAATTTATTTTTAAATTATTCATTCTCTGGAAAAAAGGATTATATGATAAACAGGTTATACATGATTTAATATGCAAAAGCAAGGTGGCATCTCTTTCAAGTTATCGTACGTCTGAAATTAGTTTCGCCAATTTTGCTTTCCTCCACTGAACATCTTCGAAATAGCAAAGCAAAACTGAAACTATTTTTGTTGAAAACTATTTTTGAAGACTGTTGAACAGATGCGTAAGGAGACATCTTTACATGTGATGATTCGAGACAATTCTACTACATGTGATGATTTTGGACAATTCTGCTACATATGACAATTCCTGTCTACTACAATGGTGATTCTGAATAATCATGGAAGATTCTGGAAATACGTGTAGTGAATCTGAACAGATAATTGGCTCATTTCAACTCATTCCATTGGACTCATTGATACCATTTATTAACAGAACTTTTTTCCACCATTTGTCAAAGTAAAATTATTGGAATGATGCACAAAAATTACATTTGTGAACAGTACAAGAAGTGAAAGTGTTGTAGCGCTGTTTGGATGATAAATGGTTAGTTACAAGGTCACTATTGTACGTATCTCTGTCCT